AAATTTGTGATATTTTTGTCTACTCGTGATCCTACTGTTGAATTTTCACCAGATATATGTTCTAGAGTAATGTTTGTCAACTTTACAGTAACTAGGTCGTCATTACAAAGTCAATGCTTAGATCGTGTATTAAAGGCTGAAAGGCCTGATATTGACACAAAACGATCTGACCTACTCAAACTTCAAGGTATGTTTATTTGATTGAATGTTATATTAGTATTGTTATATGTATTAAAAATATAAACCTGTTTTGTTCTAGGTGAATTCCACTTGCGTTTAAGACAGTTGGAAAAATCTCTGTTACAAGCATTAAATGAAGCTAAAGGTAAAATATTGGATAATGATTCCGTAATAACAACATTAGAAAGACTTAAACAAGAAGCAGCAGATATCAGCAAAAAGGTGGAAGAAACAGACAAAGTTATTGCTGAAATCGAAACAGTTTCGCAACAATATAAACCTTTAGCTCAAGCCTGTAGTAACATGTACTTCACAATGGACAGTTTAAATCAAGTTCATTTTCTCTATCAGTATTCATTAAAATTCTTTTTGGATATCTTCAGTTCAGTTTTATTATCTAATCCCAGATTGGCGTCCGTCACTGATCACACATCTCGATTAGATATTGTCACTAAGGATTTATTCACAGTAAGAATTAAAAAATTATGTCCTGTATTGATATTGAAACAACCAATAAATCATTTCTAGGTATGTTATGAAAGAGTCGCCAGAGGGATGTTACATAATGATAGGTTGACATTAGCAATATTGTTATGTCGAATCAGTTTAAAGGGATCGCCAATTGGAAATATATTGGACTCTGAGTTCCAATTCTTCCTCCGTGGTAAAGAAGGAGTTTTTAGTGCCAATAACTCATCAGGACAGGGTTCTCTTAGTAGTCTGAACCAAGAACAAATTGAAGCCATGATTAGATTATCACATAGAATTTCATCATTTAAAAATTTATCAGAACGAGTCGAGGAGATGCCAGAGTTTGGCCCATGGCTTGCCCAAAATACACCTGAACAATGTGTACCTAAATTGTGGGACGAATCAACTCCGTTTAGTCCTGTGGCTACTGCCATGTATCAACTTCTTGCTATTCAAGTATGTATATACCATTTCTTTCATTTAAATGATATACATTTGTGATGCCTATATTTATTTCAATTCTAAAATTAGGCATTCCGGCCAGATAGAGTGATAGCATCAGCTAATCTATTTGTTGAAGCAACTCTGGGTACCCAATTAACCTCTTCAGCAGAGCGTGAACCTGACTTGGCAACTATTGTCCTAAATGAACTGGACTGCAGTGTTCCAGCTCTTTTGTGTTCGGCTCCTGGGTATGATGCTTCTGGTCGTGTTGATGATCTTGCTACTCAACATAACCAACTGTTGTCATCTGTAGCAATTGGTTCAGCTGAAGGTTTCCGTCAAGCTACTGATGCCATAAATTCTGCAGTTCGTCTTGGACGGTATGCACCATAATACTAATTTAGTGTTATCATGAATGATATGTTTTAATTTTTTTGTCATAATTTTAAGATGGGTCTTGTTGAAAAATGTTCATCTGGCTCCTCAATGGTTAGTACAGCTTGAAAAGAAACTACACAGTCTGCAACCTCATACCAACTTCAGACTATTTTTAACTATGGAAATAAATTCTGCTGTACCTGTAAATTTATTGAGAGCAGGACGCATATTTGTATTTGAACCACCACCAGGTGTAAAAGCCAATTTGTTACGGACATTCAATACTGTAAGCATTGAAAATCAGTATACTTAAATAGCAAAATATTTAAAATTATGTGATCTTAGATTCCGGCATCACGCATGATGAAAGTACCCAATGAAAGAGCCAGATTATACTTTTTACTTGCATGGTTCCATGCTATTGTACAAGAGCGTCTACGTTATACTCCACTTGGTTGGGCCAAACATTATGAATTCAATGAATCTGATCTACGAGTTGCTTGTGATACATTGGATACATGGATTGAAGCAACAGCAAAAGTATGTTTTTATTTAAGTAATAGAATAGATTTTGAATTTGTTTGATTAATTAAATTAACATTTAGAGTCGTACAAATTTACCTCCTGAGAAAATTCCTTGGGACGCAATAGTTACTTTATTGTCACAATGTATCTATGGTGGTAAAATTGACAATGACTATGACCAAAGGCTATTGACATCATTTTTAAGCAAGTTGTTCACAGCACGTAGCTTTGAAACAGGATTTGCATTAGTAGCTAATGTTGACGGTGTTGGAGGAGATAATAGGTACCATAAAATATACTTATTTCTATCTAAACGTTTAACAATATTTAACTAAAATTTATTTTAGGCATATTACAATGCCCAATGGATCAAGACGAGATCACTTTTTACATTGGATTGAAAATTTGTCAGATAGACAATCACCATCGTGGTTAGGACTACCAAATAATGCTGAAAAAGTACTACTGACAACTAGAGGTATATCGAGAACTATGAAATAACAATTTTCGATTTACAAACTTATGCTTAATTAATTCATAATTAAATAGGTACTGATTTGGTGAGCAAATTATTGAAGATGCAACAACTCGAGGATGAAGATGAACTTGCTTATGTTACCGAACAAGCTGTTAAAGATGGAGGACCTGATTCCAGTATTGGACTTCCAACATCTGATGGTCGTCCAGCTTGGATGAGAACATTGCATAACTCAGCAACTACCTGGCTACAACTTTTACCTCAATCACTTCAGACTTTAAAACGTACTGTAGAGAACATTAAAGATCCGCTTTATCGATATTTCGAGCGAGAAGTCAACTTTGGTTCAAAGTTATTACAGGAAGTTATTCATGATTTAAATGAAGTAGTAGCTATATGTCAAGTATGTTCAATGTTATACCAAGTGTACATTAATATTTTTGTATTATTTATTTAATTTTTGATATTCATAGGGCGAAAAGAAACAAACCAACTATCATAGGAGCTTGTTTAGTGATTTGGTTAAAGGAAAATTGCCAGTTGGTTGGCGTCGATACACAGTGCCTAGTGGATGTACAGTAATCCAATGGGTGTCTGATTTTAGCCAACGTGTCAAACAACTACAACAAGTATCACAGCTTGTTTCTCAACGAGGTGCCAATCAAATCAAAGTAAGTTATTAAAAGCATTTGAGTATGATTATTTTTGCATTACTTCTATATTTACAACTGTTGTGTCTTTAGTCATTCCCAGTGTGGCTTGGAGGTTTATTAAATCCAGAAGCTTATATAACAGCAACTAGACAGTGTATTGCACAAGCCAACTCTTGGTCCTTGGAAGAATTAATTCTAGATGTGACTATTACTGATGCATTAGAGTATGATTCAGTTCAACAAGATGAATGTAGCTTTGGTGTTATTGGTAAGCATTTATTTATAAAAAAAACACTATGACATTCTATTAATAACCATTTTTTATGATTTAGGTTTGAAGCTACAAGGTGCACAATGTCGTAATAATCAGTTGTTGTTAACTTCATCTATAATGACTGATTTACCAGTGACATTATTACGATGGACTCAGTAAGTGTTTAATATGTTTACTCAAAATGTCTTATCTAAGTTTATTTTCTAAGTGAAATTTATATTTTTCAGTGTGTCGGCAGAAGAACACTTAAGACCTGATAAACTGTCTCTACCAGTATATTTAAATTCTACCCGAGCTGAATTATTATTCACTGTAGAACTAGATGTAGCTCCCGGACAAGATCATCACACATTCTATGAAAGAGGAGTTGCATTATTAACATCTGCTGCTTTAAATTAGGTAAAATAATACGAACTAATAAAATGTTAATTAAAATATATTTATTTATAAATATTATGTTTAATAAATTTAAATAATCTATTGTGGTCCAAAGCACGGTGCCATTTATTCTAATATATCCCAAAACCAATATTTCGAAAAGCTGTGAATTTATTTAATAAACTAAACCTATTTTATTATAAATTTAATTTTATATTTTATATTAATAAATCAACTTTTATAATCAATTTAAATGATTTTATAAGTGCAACGAGTTTTTAAACTTCTATATTAAATATTATTTTGTATTTGTCGCTCAGTTTGTAATTGGTTATTATTCCTTTTATTATTACCATAATTATTATTATATACCAAGTAATCTCTGTTATTAGCCATAGAAGTTTAATTTGAACGCAAGTTACTTATTTTAATTTATTTTTTATGTATTTTAATGTGCTGTAAATGTTTTATTTATTGCTATTTTTTTAATGTATATAGAAAATGTTAAGAGCTTCATATTAAAAAAAATTTACTAATGTGGTTTTGATGAATTTTTAACAATATTTTACAAGTATATTAAGAAACCCAAGTACAACAATTAGCTTAAACTAATAGTTATTAGATTTACAAATTCTAATAACTAAAAAAAATAACAAAACTATATTGATATATTTAGGAATTTTATGAGTAACAAATCAAAAAATATTTTATTTATATTTTTAACTTTTTGGCAATCTAGAATATTACTAATTACTACCAAATATTGACATAAATTAAAAATTAATTTGCCAACAGTTTATTGCTATTCTTTTTTGTGAATGTGCATACTTATTACTTACTGTGGATAGTTATTGCAAATAAATTTATAATTTATTATTATATAATATAATAATAAATAAAATATCTATTTATTTATTAAAAATGGTTAATTTTGACAAACTCAGTTAAATATATTAAATAAAGTTTTATTTTCTACTCTCTGTGGTAATTGATTTTTTGATTTAATTAAATATCAAATTAATAAGATTATGTCTTGTGTAGTCGTGTATTATTTTTAATCTTATTTACTGTGTAGTTGTGTGTATGTGTTAATATTTAATATAATATTAAACCATGTTAAATGTATTACTAACAATTATTCAACAGTAACACATACAGCATATTAAACATTTTTTGTTTCTTTAGGTATAAATAATATTTTTGAAAAATCAAATCAACATTTTCAGTATAAATTGCTGTTCAGAACTTTTTATTTTTAAATTTTAGGTACCTATTATATTAATGCTAATACAAATTTTGTATTTTGTTGTTGGTAAGTCAAACAACACTTAATTTTTACTAAGATTTTGCTACTCTGTAACCACTGAACGATGTAACCTCTACACCTTGTTCATGTCTAGCGTTGAATTTTTTTGAATTCCCATCCAAATACACAGCTACTTGATCTCCACTCTCTACTTCCAAAAATATTGTAGCTGATCCACCGCCTGGTTTTGTTGCTATAATTGGTGTCCACTGTTTACCATTGTTTAATCTTTTCTTCAACACCATCCTATGTTATGATTTTATTAGCATGGTTGTCAAAATGGGTATTTCTTTGTAACCAATGTTATTACCTTGTGTTTTCTTCGGTGGAACCAGAAAAAGAAAATTGATAGAGGCCGGAACAAGCACAAGTATAGACACCAACCTCACGATCCCATGTAACAGCTAGGTTAACAACATTCTGTTTATACGCTACCAGACCTGTAGAATGGACTGATGTACTCCCAGTTGATGTAAATGCAATCGGTCCTGTACAGTCAACATTATTATTTTTATCTGGTGACCGCGATGGTATCGGTGTGACTGCTAGTCCAACTGACCACAGTAGAGCACACAACCATAACACACTTGTCTTATACATACTGTTAATTCAAACTACTAAGAATATAAACTATCAAACTATCAATTTTACTGTCTGCTGTGTTTTCAAACAAAAATAAATGTTACTAAATCTAGTCAAGGACGCTTAGTTTTGTTTTTGTATGGTTATTACCAAATCACTGTTATGTATATAATACAATATGTATTAGTACCTATACGGCTATACAACTGACTCTCATTATTATGTTAATATAATGAAACTAAAATATGTTTATTTTTTCGACCCGAGTCTATGAATGTTTAACCCATAGTGATAAAAAAAAAAATATATACATTTATCTAAAGCTTTTAATGAGTAAATAGTTCTTAATTATAATCAGTAATCACATATACATTTACCTACTCATAGGTGTTATAAAATAATGAAAATATTTATTTTGGCTTGGTGGAATAATTTTTTATCGTATTATCATTCAAGGGAAAGAATAAAAATATTGTCTACTGTCGTTTGTCAGTTATTTTCAAGGGCAAATAAAAAAATTTTGTACACCGCGATTATTGTTTTTGATCACAATAAAAGTCCGAGTTGATTTCTGAGTAATACAATATTGGAATCTAACTAACGCCCACAAGACTATGCGTCTTTGGTGCATCATTGGATGTATGTGGTTGCCCCTTGCTAGAAATTTTCGGTGGTTTCTGTTTAATGTTGTTTTAAACGTTTTACCTATAATACACTTACGACATAATACCTTAATATTATAGTTAATACTATATAGTCACACTAAATGTTTTTTATAAACAAAGATGTTATTCTATTGAATTTTTCAAAGTTGATTTTCCGTGCAATGCGCTATTCCATATTATAGTTTTGTCAACTTGTAATAATCTTAATTTAATTTCTAGAATTAATGTTATGAACAATGATAAAGATACTAATATTTTAGATGAGCATTAAGATTTATTTGACGGTCTAGGGACTAGGACAGGGATGGCAACCTTTTGAACACTGAGTGCCATGAAAAAAAATATTAAAAAAAGTATATTTTATTATACTATAATTTGATTGTATAATTAATGTATTAGTATAAAAAGGTTAGTTTAGATTATTATAGGTCCTATAATATTTGTGCCGCGGAAATAATGCGGAAGCAGTCCCCGCGGCGCCGTCGGTTGAAACTTAAAAAAAAAAAAAAGGGCCTATAATATATATAAGTAAACATTTTCGTGTGCCCACAAAGTCTTTTCGCGTGCCACCTCGGTCACACGTTCCATGGATTTGCCATCCTTGATATATGCCTATATAGTTATGACTACAATGTATAACGCTTATAAATTAACACTCTTATCAAAACTAACTATAATGGTTCATGTCAAAAATATCAATAAAATATGAGCACATTAAATTATGTTTTCATTCTAAATTTTCTATTAAATTTACTACAATTCTGCTATCATATTTTAATTAAATATTTTAGGTATTATATAATAGATTATTAGAATCGTCGTATTTTAATTTTTTTATTTAATACACACACCAGTCAATTGAATAAACAAGTATTCTGTAAATAACACATTTTTATTTTTCAAATTAACAGTATGAAACATATTTTTACACAAAGAGAAACTGAGTACATGGTAATAAATGTATGATATAATATAAAAAAAAAATAATAATACAATAATATAATATATATATTGAATACATCTTAGTGTATATAGATACCCGCAGGAGTGATTAGCGGGAAAACAAAAAAAAACAAAAATCGTGAGGGCCAACTAAAAGGTTGCCGGTGGAAAACGACAGACGTCGGTATAAATTTAAAAGAAAAACGTAAAAAAAAAATGCGACGAGGCACAAGGGTGCTCGAAAAACCGGATGACCGGATGTGACTTAAGCCGGCTATCGAGGGTCACACGGGATTGTAGAGGGTTGGAGTGGACTGGGTCGAACTTCGCGACTGTTCGATGCCCGCGGCGACGTGAGCGAATGGAGGCAATAGACGGTGTCCAAAAAACATCCTGGATCAATGCATCTCTCAATCTCTCAGCGTCCCGCCACATTGCGGTACCAGAGTACCTCTCTAATCAATATTATTCGGACGACAACAACAGCAGAACAACAATCTGCCGACCTTGAGGAGTCGGTTCCCCAGTGCTGACATGATGGACGGCCCGCGACGATCTTGCATCGGTTGTTCTGCTGCTGCTGCTGCTGCTGACTTTACCGTGGCCGTGGTCACTGACGGTTCGAGCTCGTCGCCGTCACTTTTTGCTACGTCTATAGCCGTACTTTGAACTGCAGTCTTCTCCTCGATTTCTTCCGACTGAACCACGCTCTCGACCTCCAGGACGTCCGGCTCGCAATCTACGTCCGACGGCAGCTGGTCGTTCGCCGTTGACGTTTGTTGCACGTTATTATCCAAAAGACTGGGTGCCACGCAATCGCCGTCGTTTTTTGCTACGTCTATTATAGCCGTGCTTTGAGCTGCAGTCTTCTCCTCGATTTCTTCCGACTGAATCGGTCGCTTGACTTCTAGGACGTCCGACGGCAGCTGGTCGTCCGCCGTTGTCGTTTGTTGCACGCCGTTATTAGCCAAAAGACTGGGTGCCACGCAATCGCCGTCACTTTTTGCTACGTCTATAGCCGTGCTTTGAACTGCAGTCTCCTCGATTTCTTCCGACTGAACCACGCTCTCGACCTCCAGGACGTCCGGCTCGCAATCTACGTCCGACGGCAGCTGGTCGTTCGCCGTTGACGTTTGTTGCACGTTATTATCCAAAAGACTGGGTGCCACGCAATCGCCGTCGTTTTTTGCTACGTCTATTATAGCCGTGCTTTGAGCTGCAGTCTTCTCCTCGATTTCTTCAGACTGAATCGGTCGCTTGACTTCTAGGACGTCCGACGACAGCTGGTAGTTCGCCGCCATTGTTGTTCGTCTCACGCAATTGGCCAAAAGTCCTCAGCCACCTCGTCCAACACTTTAAAATCCGCCAAAGTCAACGTCGTCGTTGGTTGTTGGCCACTGAGCTCACTGATATCACGTACAATTGTAGGCCTCGTGGCCAGTGTAGGGTCATCCACCCTGTGCACTTTGTCTTCCGACAAAATACTGCATCCGCTATGGCGGGTGCTATGCTCGCATTGCTGCAAACTCCCTGCAACAGCCGGAACATCCAATTGTTCTGGCGTTGTAATATGGTCTGCTTCTGTGAAACTTTCCACGATGGTTTTGTTTAAAAATTCAGAAATTGAATTTCAAGATATTATGATTGAGTTAAATTATTTAAATAATTTATGAGACAAAAAATAGTTTGGGTAATGCCTCGTAGTAGACTGAAACAAAATTTGTAATAAGACGTATGAATAAACATTCAGACGAAAGTACATAACCATGACAACGAAATATAATATTATAATATTGTTGAACATTGAAAATAAAATAGGTACATGGCTAATTAATTTTCAGCCACATTACATATGTCTATTTAAAATGACATTGTAATATTCTTACATCTCAATATATGGTTCAATAATAATTCGTTTACATGTACGGTTAGCCAAAAGTGGCATTTTGAGTTGACAACTCT